TCTCTCTCTCTCTCTCTCTCTCTCTCTCTCTCCCCTTTCTCTTTCTCCCCCCCCCTCTGTGTGTGTGTGTTCCAGCATAACTCTGGAACGCCTCGACCAATTTCAACCAAATTTCAACACAGATGACTTGCTCGGGGGGGCGGGGGGGGAAGACACCCCTAACGCCCCTCGGGTTCTGTTAAGATGCAGCCTGTTGTGCCTTAAAACGGCTTCTACTGTATTGCTGTAAAATGGCTTCTACTGTACAGCATGGTGGAGTTGCCATGGTAACGGCTTCACAGTACTCCACAAGGGGGCTCCCTCTGTTAAAGGGGAAAATCCAACATTAGAAATGACATTTGGTCCGGACATTTCCCCCCTATAAATAAATACCTGGCCAACGCCGGGTTATCAGCTAGTGACCAATAGTTGTTCTTATTGTTATTATATTCTGGTCAGCAGCAAAGAGCGCCAACACATCACCTCCTATGAGGAAGAGCTGCCCCCACTGACTGATTCTCTGGTGTGGAGAGCGGCATCCGCCCTGCGATCTTGTTCAGTAGCGTATCCAATAAATATTTCAGTTCTATACCTTGCAGCCTTTCTCGGAAACACTGTGTTAATTCATTTAATATGAAATGTCCGAAACGACGTCTGTAAACCCACAAAAATAAACTTACTTTACTAACTTAGCCAAATTTTAGGGGTTCGCGGAATGCAGTATTTGGACATGGGGAGATAATCTAATCCAACTCTCCTGCCGTTTCAAGAATCCACTGCTACATCACCTCCAACAGAGGGCCGTCCAGCCTCAATTTAAATGCCTCCGGTGGCCATTCAGTCTCACGAAGCATTCTGTTCCGTTGCTGAAAAGCTTTTCCCGATAGGAAACTTTCCTAGGGCCCATCCAAAATTTACCTTTTAAGGTAAATGCAATTTAAGCCCTTTGCTTCTTGTCCTGTGTGGTTCTGCCCACGTTCTAACAATTCACTCTTTTAAATAGTCGACAGCTATTTCAATCTTTCCTTTCCCAGGCTTAATAGGCGGAGCCCAACACTTCTGCTCTCTAGGCAAGGAGGTTTTGCTGAGTTTTGCTACTACATTTTACAACCTTCCTTGACACGGCTGTTAAGTGAATCACTGCAGTTGTTAACATGGTTGTTTCATGAATCTGACTTCCCCATTGACTTTGCTTGCCATGAGGTCACAAAAGATTATCACAGGACCCCCCGCAAGCATCACAAATGCACACAAATGCCCAACCATCCAAATTTTTATTATATGACTGTGGGGATGATAGTCGAAGTGTGAAAAATGGACATACTGTATTTTTCGGAGTATAAAACGCACTCCCGCCCCCCCCCCTCCCCCCCCCCAAAAAAAGAGGGTGAAAATTTGGATGCACCTTAGACCAAATTAGCCCCGCCAACCTGCCGGTCCCCACCATTCTGCCTCTGCCTCCCAGCAATTTGCCTCCGTGCAGCAAACAGCCTGTTTCAGTTTCAGCTTCAGCACAACCTGATTAGCACAAGGGGAAAAAAATCTGCCTCTGCCTCCCAGCAATTTGCCTCCGTGCAGCAAACAGCCTGTTTCAGCTTCAGCACAGCCTGATTAGCACAAGGGGAAAAAAAATCTGCCTCTGCCTCCCAGCAATTTGCCTCCGTGCAGCAAACAGCCTGTTTCAGTTTCAGCTTCAGCACAGCCTGATTGGCACAAGCAGCTGATTGTTGGTTGGATCAGCCTCCCTACCATCAGCTGTTTCAGGCTGCAGAGATTGACATAGCTGATTTCCGCCTCTGTGCGCCCCTTTTTTGGCCTCCGCACCCCATTTTTGGCCTCCACGCGCCCTGTTTTCCGCCCGTTCCGATCCCTGCCGCCCAGAACGGGCCGAAAACGGGGCGCACTGAGGCAGCAATAAGCAAACGGCAATCCCTGCAGCCTGAAACAGCAGTAGGCCAATCCGACCGACAATCAGCTGCTTGTGCTAATCAGGATGTGCTGAAACTGAAACAGGCTGTTTGCTGTTTTCTGTTAGGAGGCAAATTGCTGGGAGGCAGAGGCAGATCCCCCCCCCCCGTTTTTCTACCCCAAAAGCTAGGTGCATCTTATACGGTAATTCATTTTTTTCAGTGCCGTTGAAACTTTACTTTCCCCTATTATTATTTTTTTACTTCTTTAATGGACCACTTATTTGAAGAGAAAGAAAGCAAGGAACATGAAGGAACGGTATCTTGTCCACTCACCGCTGTTTTGCCTCCCTGATCCTCTTTTTAACATCTGCCTCCCTCCGTATGGTTATTGCTACGTCTTGAGCCTGGCGCAGCATAACCTACAGAGGTAAAAAACACCTCCACTTAAAACAGGGAAGTAATGTAATTTGTCTGTTTAACGTTCACATCTTTATAACAACAGCTCGTTCGCTCAAGGCCTTATGCTCCAATAAGCACAGTGAGGCCGAGCACTGTTTGCCCGTTTATACACATTCACTCACACATTCATTCCATGGATTTCAGAAAACATCATACATCTGGAACGCACAAAAGTTAAAAGTAAAGGTTCCCCAGCACATGCGTGCTAGTCGTTCCCGGCTCTAGGGGGCAATGCTTATCTCCGTTTCAAAGCCGAAGAGCCAGCGCTGTCCGAAGACGTCTGTCTCCGTGGTCATGTGGCCGGCATGACTCAACGCCGAAAGGCGCATGGAACGCTGTTCCCTTCCCACCAAAGGTGGTTCCTATTTTTCTACTTGCATTTTTTACTTGCTTTCAAACTACTAGGTTGGCAGAAGCAACCTAGTAACGGGAGCTCACTCTGTTTGGCACCGCTAGGGATTTGAACCGCCAAACTGCCGACCTTTCTGATCGACAAGCTCAGTATATTAGCCACTGAGCCACCGTGCCCCCTCACAAAAGTTAAGCGCGCACAATTTTAAAAAAGAAGCCTACTTCTGCTGAGGTTTCAAAATGTTCAGCTCTCTCTTACTACTTCAGACAGGAAACATTTTTTCAAATAGCAAGTCAGGCAATTATATAATGATTATACACGCGTGCATATGTACACGTATATTATTATTATTATTATTATTATGGTGCATCATCAGAATAGATATTCCAGCAATTTTGATCATGAACCTTTATTCTTTAACCTTTGTCCTTCCCGTCTACCAAGCACATCCAGTTATTTCGTTCAGCTAGAGGAGATTTCTCTGAATCTCTTCTTGGATAACGACATTTCACCTTAGCAATCAAATGCAGTGTATTTACCCTGGACTCTCTACTAAGGTCTCCTCCCAGCCGTAGCTCTAAAGCACGGGCTTTGCTTTCCGCTTCTCGGGCCTTCTCTTCCACTGCAAAAGAGAAATTAAACCTTCAGAGAAAATGTATACCGGTGGTATTTGGCGTGCAACCAGTTGCTTCAAGGCTACAATGGACCGGATTTACTGCCATTTAGTGTTCTATGGTCACCAGGTGATTTCCAGAAGTATGAGAATCTCACTGTGTTTTCCGTTTCCTTTTTGGACCCAGCTTCTCCAGTGAACATGGCTCCCAGAATGGGTAGGGAATTGTGCCGCCTTCAGAAAACCAGGGCAGCTTTCTAAAGGCAACACCCTTTTCAGAAGGCTTGGGGAGCCCCATGTAGGAACACAATGCAGTTTGGATACAGAACGTGTGCAAAACTTGTGCGTGTTGTGGCCTGCCAGCAGAGCTAGCAGCAGAGTCAGACAGTGAGGAGGTTGGGGAGGAACCTGGGCCAGTCCTGGAGTCTGGGGAAGGCTCTGGTGAGGGCTCTGTGTCGGGGGCAGAGAGGGGGCCAGGGCC